CAGATCCATCCGAACCTCACCCAAGAGACCATCCGCAGCTCCAAGGTGCCCCACCAGCTGTCCCCCTCTCCGCGCCATGTCAGCGACAACACGAAGGGAAGACCCCTTCAAGCCCGCGAAGAGGGTTGCGGGCCAGAAGCAGGATGTCTGGTAGGTGAGAAAGCCTCCACGTCCTACAAATACTAATAATGGCAGGTCCATCGTCAATGAAGCCGCCGCGGCCTCGCCCGTGCAGCCCATCGTCAACATGGGCCAGGGCTTCTTTGGCTACAACCCTCCCAAATTCGTCCTCGATGCCGCCAAGGCTGCGCTCGATCAAGTAGACTGCAACCAGTACTCGCCCACCAAAGGCCGCCCGCGGTTAAAGAAGGCCATTGCCGATGCCTACTCGCCCTTCTTCGGTCGCACGATAGATCCCGACAAGGAAGTCACAATCACCACAGGCGCAAATGAAGGCATGCTCAGCGCTTTCATGGGCTTCTTGGAGGAGGGAGACGAGGTCATCGTCTTCGAGCCCTTCTTCGACCAGTACATCAGCAACATCGAGATGCCAGGCGGGAAGGTCGTCTACGTGCCTCTTCACCCTCCCAAAGACGGCGCGACCAAGACAACGTCCGCAGCCGAATGGAGTCTAGACATGAAGGAGCTGGAGGCTGCCATTACACCGAAGACTCGCATGATTGTCATCAACTCTCCGCACAACCCCATTGGCAAGGTCTTTTCCAAGGATGAGCTGCAAGCCATTGGCGACCTCTGCGTCAAGCACAACATCATCATCCTCTCGGACGAGGTTTACGACCGTCTATACTACGTCCCTTTTACTCGCGTCGCCACTCTGTCACCAGAGATCGCCAAGCTCACATTGACAGTCGGTTCAGGAGGAAAGAACTTCTACGCCACCGGTTGGAGAGTAGGCTGGCTGATTGGACCCGAGCATCTGATCAAGTACGTCAGTGCAGCGCACACACGGATCTGCTACAGCAGTGTCTCGCCGCTTCAAGAAGCCACCGCAATTGGGTTCGAGCAAGCTGATGCCCACAACTTCTGGGACGAGTCGAAGAAAGAGATGAAGGCCAAGATCGACAAGTTCACCGCTGTCTTCAATGAGCTTGGGCTACCCTACTCGGATCCCGAAGGCGGATACTTCGTCTTGGTGAACATGTCCAAGGTCAAGTTGCCAAGTGACTACGAGTTCCCGCCTCACGTTGCGGAGAGACCAAGAGACTTCCAGCTCAGTTGGTTCCTGATCAAGGAAGTTGGTGTAGCGGCTATCCCTCCAACTGAATTCTTCACGCCAGGAAACGCGCACATCGTGGAAGATTGGCTACGGTTCGCCGTGTGCAAGAACGATGACGTACTGGAGCAGGCCATGGAGAGGCTGAGGAGTCTTAAGAAGTATATTCAGGAATGAAACCACCACATCGCTGATCAGAAATGATAAAGCAAGTATTCTCACATTCTCGCGATATTCCTCTCGTGATATGTCCCTCAAGACCCTTTGCGGAACCGTCCAGGTCTTTGTTTGATCGTGTCTGTCGCCCGTCAATACCGCACCGCCGCACGCGCCTTTCAGTATCCGCCACACGATTACGTTGCTCAGAGTACTTCTCACAGATGCGACATGTGTGGCGTAAATATCATGAATTAGCCTTGATACCAAATCGACTCACGACCCACTCGCCCGTTTGCCAGTCGCTCTCTGATTACTTCCCCTTCACCTCCACGACTCCACTGAACCGCTCATTCAGTCACGACCCCCACCACCACCCTACTTAGTCACCTTTTTCCTTCCACCACGTCGCGTCCACGCATCACAGACAGCGCACCACGACCAACATGCACATCACAAGCCTGCTGTTCGCCCTCTGGCTACCCATCCTCGCTGTCGCCCTATCGCAAAGCGGAAGCACGGCGACAACACTCACAACAAGACCATCGCCTGCAGTCCCGCGGTCTATCTCACCAGCCTTACAAAGCATCTACAATGTCCTAGACATCTTGTCGCCCGGTCAACCTCATCCTACACTTACACCACCCAAGTCCACGTCTACGTCCACGTCCACCACCGAGTCAGGTAGTACATTCATTATTACAACCACACCGGGCGTAGGAGTGGTGGTGACAGTTATTTCACTCACGACATTACGGAGTACGATGACCCCGCCGCGGTCGCTTCTTTCCACTACGACTTCATGGACAACACTAAGCCAGGTTGCGGGACGTAGGCGGCAGCAGGAGGAGACGGGCGAGGCGGCTTTTGCTCCTGTCAACACACGTCTACCCGCAGCGGAGAGGGACTCGGAGCGAGAAGGAGAGGTCGGGGGAATGCATTGAGGAGACTTCACTCTGTCCCGCGTATGTAGGGGAGGTGAATGACCAGAGGGGAACGACCTTACCGGGAAGTTGCTGGATGTCAATGGCGGGATTGGAAGATGGTTATCTAGAGACAACGGGTGTGTGCGGTGTATTCTGACGGGAGATGTAATGGAAAGGCGGACGGAACGCCCAGGGTTGCATGATAGAAAGAAACATTAATGGTCAGGGCTGCTATAGGGTGTGGTGAGATGGCACGGGTGCAACATCGTACATGGGTTCTTTCATTCGATACTCCCATTGGTCGATCGCTTATTCTTGATTGCACTTGCACTGCATCGATAGTCTCGAAGGATGTGCAGAAGATGTAGTGGTATCATGTACTCATTGATTCATTATATATCAGATCATTACTCGTCATCGTCATATACTTCTCGGTCTTGGAAGACCAGGAACTCGCCAGCATCGTCGCCTACAATCTTCTGCCACACCTCTTTGACATTATCAAGCACTGCGTCATCGAAGGCGAGGTCCATGGAGGGAGGTGGAAAGCGAATGACATGGTCGGTATCGGTCGGTAACGTCTCCGATCCGGATGACGATTGCTGCTGGTATTCGACAGACCATAATATGGTAGGAGATGGCGAGACGTCTTCCGCAGACAACAACGAGTCTACAGCTTTCTGAAGCAGGGCAAACCCATCTCGGCCGCTCACCGATGTCGAAGCATATAGTACACCTGGGGTATAGTCAGTAACATGAAGCTAGAAGACCATGCATTGACAATGTAGAGGATGTGCCGTTGTATCAGGTTGTCAGAGTTAATGTCTTCAATGGTATTCAGACAATGTAGATAAGTATTCGTAAGGTTTGTTCATCATAACAGCGTAGGGGTGAAGTAATAGAAAAAACTTACATTGACCAGAGGGGCATTCGCCAGTGTCGCTCGAATGCACAAAGACGTGAACTGGCGGAAGCTCTTCAGCTTGCGACTCCAGCGTCAAAGATCCGGGCGGGAAGACAACGACAGCAGCGGCTGGTGCTGGTGCTTCCTCGGCGATGGGAGGGAATAGATGCGACAAAGAGGATGACACAATGGTCATCGACTTGCAGTATGTATCCTCAGAAGCAGATGAGGAATTTCCTCCTACGATCCACTTCGCGGTGACAACTTCGCCATCTTTCAGGCGAAGCTTTGTACCAATCTCGGTTGTCTCCGGGGCGCTGTCAGTGGGTGGAGTTACGCCTTTTCCAAGGACATAGACACCACCACCCACAGCACAGGCTCGACACGAGACCTGGCTAATCTCTGACAGGCCACCCCACTTCGGTATGACGGCGCCAAAACCAGCACCGAATACTCCGATCGAACGTAGATGTGTCGCGATTCTTGGTAGAGCGTATTCGGTTGTCGTACGGTCTGCCCTGGTGGGCGAGAGCGTCAAAGCCATCAGAGGTCCTTGCAGACTGGCTGGAACCTTGAACTGCTCCGACAAGAAGCTCGAGAAGGGCTGCTGACGGTGCTCCTCCCAAACTTCAGTCTGTTCCTCGTACTCGCTGATGAAGCGCAAGAACTTCATCAAGGCGCGCTTGGCTTTGAAGTCGAGGTCGTGATCCTGGAAGACATCCTCGCGGCCGTTGGGCACCTTCAGTAGTCTTCCATGCGATGACGAGCTTTCGCCCGGTGCATCGGCAGAGTGTACCCACCAGGTACCGACAGCAAGAAACTCGAGTTGACGGTAGACCTTCGACGAGACGAGGTAGCCAAGCAGCGAGGAGCGCGCGTAGATGACCTGGGGGCTTAGAGACAGGCTGTATGCCCTCGAGAAGGACAGCGCGGGGCCTGAACCAGTAGCCTCAGGCTTGGTGACTGCGACGTGGGAGAAGGCAGCATTCGAGGTTTCTGCGATGCATTAGCGACAGTCTACCCATTCAACGTCATCCCTACTTACCACCACTCATTCGCTGCGCCCACTCTTCAGCTTCTTGCAAGCTAAAGGCAGCCTCGGCACCGCCGTAGTAGTCATTCTCGTCGACATGGAGGATCTTCTTGTCGGAGCGCGACAAAGCTCTTCACGCGCTGCGTCAGTCAGATCGCGTCCAGCCTCGCCGACGAGCAAGATACATACAAAGCGAGAAGAGACTGCTGCAGGCCAGTGCCTACGATGAGAACATCCCACTCAGTGTTGTCGAGGGTTTCCATGTTGGAGCTGTAGGAAAAGATTGAAATGTCGGAGGAAGATGGTAGCGCCATTTTAGCGTGGGTGACTAAGCGGGGCCTGGTGACAAAATCTGTCGCTGGCTGCCGAGGAGCTTTCTTCATCATCGCGCACGCTCAGGGCATCCCGGCATTACGTATGGCCTGTCCGAAAAGCAGCCTGGTCTTCACTGATCGGGACTTGTGCGCGTGAGAAGAATATCTCGTCCGGTATCTACTGCTTTGGATTTCACCTGAATTAGCGGCTCGAATGTGGCGATACATCACCTTAAGACACGCGATAGCTCGTTTGAATGCGTATGAAATGAATGCGCTTTGGGCATTTTCCCAGTAATGGCTACGCATAAGGGGGGAAGGTCGGTCCATGCGACAATGCAATTCTTCTTAAAGAGATGGCTGGCACGATCTGATCTGATCAGCTACCCATGACATGGAGAACCTTTGCTCACACCTGATTACCCTCCACCAATCATGAGATGCTCTCAACGATTCCGACTATATCTTGCGGGTCGAAGCCCAGCCCAGTCTCACACTCAATCACATTCATCTCATCCTGCTTCATCGCAGCGATGATCTCGCTGATAGAATCCTTATGACTGTCATATCGCTTATCGAAGACATCGCCTGCCCTTCCGCGACTCACAAACCTCTCTCTTGCCACTTCTCGATCAGTACACAATGCTAATACCCAAGTATTGCCATTGGGCTGCCATATATCTTTGACACTCTCCTTGAAGGTCTCCCACCGATCCACTCCCCTAGGAAAGCCATCTATCAGGATCCGTACGTTTGGCGGAACAACGCCATCAGGGAAAATCCGCTCCCGAACGTACTTGGGTGTTCTGTTGGACGGCGCCAGTGTTCCTGCTTTGACGTTCTTGGCGAGATCTCCCAGCTCCTCTACCGACAGCTTGCATTTTATGCGAGCGGGATGGCCAGTCGAGTTTGAGGAGACCAGGTTACGGAGCTCATTGCCGAGGGAGAAGTGGTCTAGGTTGAAGTGTTTGGCTAGAATGGTGCATATCGTCGACTTGCCGGCGCAGGGAGGGCCGAGGACGAAGATGAGAAGGGGCGGGGATGGTTCATGTGGTTCGGGTGCAGAGATGTGCAATATAGACTGGGGGTTGTTATCGGTGCTCATGGTTTGGGTGGTGTGTACGATATGCGCATCGACAGTTAGAGAGACGAGGTCGTTTGTGCCTCGAGAGCTGACTATATAGTCAATATACTTCACACGTTCTTTGACTTCACGAAAGTGCTGCTCGCTCGTGCTAGCCCTCGACTTACACAGCGTTTATATGTAGGAAGGTGCTGACAGTCCAGCGACGTTGTAATTGTTTAGTGTCGCATTGTCAACATGCTTTCTAGCAACAGTGCTCTCGTGTATCTAAGTGTCAGCCTCTTGCTTCACCATCGTCCTCGTGCGCCCTGATGTCTTCTTCCTTGTCCCATACTTTGTGTCCCGCGACCCACGTTTGGAGCACCTCGCCATGCTCATTCAATACCGTCAAGTCTGCTCTTCTACCCTCCTTTAGCACACCTCTTCCACCTTCTCCGTCAACGCCCATAAAGGCAGCCACGTTTTCTGTAACCGTGCCCACAGCCTCTGCGATTCCACATCCAGACCAATCCATCAAGTTTCTCACACTCTGCTGGAGTGGTATACAGCCACCAATCAACGTGTCGGTTCCAGCAATCGTAGCCCGTGTACCATTCTTCACCTGTTCAAAAGGAATCTGCGAGTGGCCAGGATATGTTCCATTCTTGAGTGAAGCAAGTTCAATGCTGTCTGTTATCAGGATCGACCGCTTTGGGCTTGAGCGATGAAGCAAAGACACGGTATTGGGATGCAGATGCTCTCCGTCCGCAATGATGGTATACCACGGCGGTGCGACTTTTCCTGTTTCCGGTAGCGAGACCAGGCCAGCTAATCCAGGCGCTCGTGATGCCCAAGCTGGCATGGCATTCAAGGTATGTGTTAATCCACTTGCTCCAGCTTTCAACCCCGTCAATCCTTGTTCATACGTGGCGGTAGAATGGCCCATTGCTACTTTGATGTCCTGCGACGTAAGCGATTTGATAAGTGCAGCTGAATCTTGAAGTTCTGGTGCGACGGTCACAAGCTTGACAGTAGACTGCAAATTAGTGGATCCGTAGACAGTCGAAGGAGAGGTCGAGCATGGGTGAAAGAGGGAACTGTTGTGCGCGCCCTTCTTGTCTGGATGTAGATATGGCCCTTCGGTATGAGCCCCGAGAAGAGATGCTGAAGAGGGAATTTGGCGTGGCTGCAAAGAGGGAAGGATCTGGAGCCATGTCAGTAAGCTTGCACAATGTATGCACCCGAAGATGGTTCCATTGCATGACAAAAGCGGCCCATCACGCTACGTCTGTCTCACCTTCTGGAATTCATCACTCTTTACAGTTGGTAGGGTTGCCCAGAACCCAGTGACACCCTGAGTCGCGTAGTACCTCGCAATACCATCTATCTTCGTCGCGTACGTCTCTTCGTTCTCAAAGTGTGTGAAATGGAAGCCATTTGCCCCATTGGTGTGCAGTTCCAGGAAACCTGGAGCTATGATACTGTCTTCCAAGTCGATAGCCTCGCCGCCAATGTAGCCTTCTCTTTTCAGGATGAGCCCGGACTCATCTGAGATAACGAGATGGTCCTCGACAAGCTCGCCATTGAGGATGTATCGACAATTGGTGAAGAGAGTGAACCAGCCTGACATAATGTAGACCTGGCCAATAGCGCGCTCGAAATAGGTCGCGTATACTTCCGTTAGCAAGGCGTGAGCAAGGAGATCATGAGTCGTTCCAAGGTGGAGGGGACGATCAGCCCCACCATGCCCTGATTGGCCAATGCAGCCACACCATGTGCGTTGACGTCATTATAGGCGGATCTCGCGATCCATGAACGCGACAGCCAGGGTGATTACCAGAATTCCAGCCACAGTGGAGATTTTGACAGCTTCTTGCCGTGGCACAAGCAAATGTTGGGTACGCGTCGTGCGCAAAAAGGTAACGCGGCTGCTCCTGTTGCAGCATTGGGCGCACTTGCCCTACGTCATTGACTGCAATTGGCAGCCCCGCGCGCGGGAACTCTTTTATGGTCTTGCAGCTTGCTTGTTCCTTGCTTTCGCTTCTTAAGCGGGGAGATCTTCGCTAGGCCCAAACTCTCCCAATATATCTCCATCGGCCCATACGATCCTCGATCCTCCCGCAACAGCCGCAACTGCTGTGAGCCCTTTCGCCCCTCCACACCCTTGACTTTCCGAAAGACTTGGGCGGTCACTTCGGAGGAGATATAGCACAGCATGGCGTCACAACAGCAGCAACACGCTCCGGGAGGACATTACTCGGGCCATAACCCAATCCCTACCGTCAGGCAGTTCGTCGAAAACCTGGACAAGGACAAGGCGGCTCGGGACAAGAGAATAGACGAAGCATCCAAGCAGCAGAACCAGCAACAATCGCAACCCCATAAGCAGCAGGAAAGACAAATAAAGGGTACAGAGCAGGTGGTTACTGACCCTACGACTGGTAGGGAAGTCACCATTGCCGATGTCAACGAGGATATGATGGACGAGGTCGAGAACCCGCATCTAGTCATACCAAATGCAAACCTTGATAAGCAAACAGTACGTCTTCTATGCCGGCTCTATATTCACTCGCTAATACTCTGCAGCCCATCAAGACCGATGCCTCCCAGTCGCTCGAAGACTACAAGCACAACCAGGATGTCACAGCTCCACCGGATCCAGTCGCCGAAGGCACGACGACCGACGTACCTATTCACGGCGAAAAGACGAACGTTCTCTTCCACCCGACACCCTCGGTCAGCTACGAACCCATGTTTGCCGCACTCGAAACACGGGCCAACTACCTGTGCGCAGGTATCTTGATTGGAACAGTTGTCGTAGGCAAGATGTTCGGTGGCGCACTGAAGGGTCTAATACCACTCGGCATGTGCCTGGCTTCTGGCGTATTTCTCTGGATGAAGGAAGTCGTGCGCAGCGGACGAGAGGTAGAGTGGGACAGCGAGCAAGTCCGTGGCCAGATGGTGTGTATCTGCGAAGTCCACCCACATGAGCGATAGCTAACCATCTTGTAGGCCTCTCTGAACTTGCTACCCGAGTCCGTCGAGTGGATGAACACGCTTCTCGCTATTGTGTGGGGCCTCATCAACCCCGACATGTTCTCTGGCGTTGCAGACATGCTTGAAGATGTCATGCAGGCCTCCGTACCAGGTGTCATCGAAAACGTCCGCGTGGCCGAAATCAACCAAGGAAGCAACCCGTTGCGCATCCTTAGCTTGCGAGCACTTCCGGACTCACACATGGGCGACATGAAGAGGTCCATCCACGAAGAGAACAAAAAGACGAAAGACCCACAAGAAGCAGCAGCAGACGAAGAAGGTGGAGATTACTACAATCTGGAGGTCTCTTTCGCATATCATGCGAGCCCCAGTGGAAAGCGAGTTTCGGAGAGAGCACGAAACATGCACATGCAGCTGGTATTCTACTTGGGGATTAAGGGTCTCTTCGGTGTTCCGCTGCCCATCTTCGTCGAATTGCAGGGACTTGTCGGCACAGTCCGCCTGCGTCTCAACATGACACCCGAGCCTCCTTTCCTAAAGACGTTGACCTTCACGTTGATGGGCGCACCGCAGGTCAGTGCCGGATGTACACCCATGGTGGAAAAGGGTGTAAATATCCTCAACCTTCCATTGATCAGCAACTTCGTCAACTACGCCATCAAGGCAGCAGCAAGCAGTAAGTGAGTCTCTCAAGAGGGACAAAGAAAGCATGCTAATCAGCCTAGTGTACGTTGCGCCCAAGTCTATGTCTATTGACATGCGAGCTATCCTCCAGGGCGACTCCGTTCAAAAGGACACGGAAGCCCTCGGTGTTCTCTGGATCCGTATTCACCGCGCTGTTGGCCTAAGCAAGCAAGACAAACGCGGATCGAAACATGGTGGAAGCGACCCTTACATCACTATCGCCTTCTCAAAATACGGAAAACCCATGTACTGCACTCGGGTCATTACCGATGATCTGAATCCGATCTGGGAAGAGACAGCAGCTGTTCTTGTTGGACCGGAATTGATCAAAGCCAATGAGAATCTGAGCGTAGAACTCTGGGACTCCGACCGACACACCGCCGATGACATTGTCGGAAAGGTCGAGATTTCCATGCAGAAGATGATTCAACACCCCGGCAAGATGTACCCGCAGACTTCAAAGCTGGCTGGTATGGATGCCGATAGCGAGATGCCTGGAGAACTTCACTGGGAAGTCGGCTACTTCACCAAGCCGAAGTTCAGGAAAGAGATGCGAACGGACGGCAAGAACAAGTCGCTCCCAGACGAGTTGAAGGACAAGCCTGAGTTACAAGACGAGAAGGGTGTCATCAACTCCGAAGAGGATGATGCTGTCATGCATACTCCACCGGATCCTCTGTGGCCCAGCGGTATCTGCAGTGTGGTTTGCCACCAGATTGTGAACCTAGAGCTCGAGAACGTCAAGGGTAGCGCCGACCCTAGAGGTCGCGAGTACGAGCCTGCGAAGCCTTACGGCGAAGGCAAAGAAGAGACTGGTGGCAATCTTCCGAACAGCTACTGTACGATCTTGTTCAACGACGAGCTAGTCTACCGAACTCGTTCGAAGGCTGTCTCATCTCAGCCCATCTTCAACGCAGGTACCGAACGATTCGTTCGTGACTGGCGATCGGCCATCATCACGGTAACGGTGCGCGACCAAAGGAACAGGGAGCACGACCCCATTCTGGGCGTGGTTCCACTGAAGCTATCTGACATCCTCGAAACATCATCACAGGTTACGCGATGGTATCCGCTCGACGGTGGTATCGGTTTCGGTCGCATACGCATCTCTCTGTTATTCCGCAGCATCGAAACTCGTCTACCACCGCAGATGCTTGGCTGGGACGTCGGCACCTTCGAATTCCGGTCGCAGCGCATTCTGGCTTTAGGCTACAACCATCACCCCAAGATCAAGTTGCGGACTGGAGGTAGCACCGGCAAGCTAGGCCGCAGCGCTGCCACCAAGCTCCAAGAAGGCGATGGCTATTACTGGGATTTGGAAGAAGGCAATGGGAAGAACAACGTCCGATTACCAGTTAAGC